CTGCAGGAGTTAGGCTTACAGCAGGATAATTATCAAATCTTCATTGATAGTCAAAGTGCTCTTGATTTGAGCAAGAATTCTACCTTCCATTCCAGGACGAAACACATTGATGTGAGATATCATTGGCTTAGAGAAGCTGTTGAGAAAGAGGAGCTGAAGTTATAAAAGATTCACACAGATAAAAATCCAGCAGATTTTTTAACGAAGACCGTTTCCAGAGAGAAGACCGAGTTGTGTAGGCGATTGGCCGACATGAACACTCGTTGAGGAGTTAAAGATTGGCATATTCCCTCCTTGGGCTGGAGGGGGAGATTGTTGTGGGTCCAGCCCAAGATAAGGCCCACATGAGAAGGTCTACATAAATTAAAATTCTATCTATAAGAAGTCTACATGGATTAGAACTCTATTTAGAATAGGATTTGGATGATCTATTTGAAGTAGGAATAGGTTTGAAGAATTCTATATAATAGAGCCATGAGATTAATTTTTATATAAACAATTTTTGGGTGAACAGTAATCGGTCGTGAACATTAATCGGTCTTGAACAGAGGGGAGAGAGAGAAGAAGAGAAAGAGAAAATTTCAGATTCCGGATAGTTCGGGTGTCCGATTGCAGTGATTCAAAAGCTGTTGTCTTCAGAACGACGACGCCGTCGAGGGTACGGTGCTGATTTCTCCATGGGACTTAGAGATTTTTGGTGAGACAGGTTTTAGGGTTTTGGTGCCCTAGAGGTAACACTGTATCTTTCTCTTGTGATTTAATCATCAAGTTCAGGTGTAACTTGGAGGGATTGTACTCTTGATTCATAGTGAAATATTTCTCTCTGGATTGCCTCGTGGACGTAGGCACGATTTGCCGAACCACGTTAAATCTTGGTGTTTGTTTGCTTGTGATATTTTTCATTGGTGCCGTTATTCGTTAAGTATTTAATTCCTTAGATTAATCTCCTTAAAATCCCCAACACACCCTTTCTTTCTCTCTCATCAACGAAGCCCCATCCTCATTCAATCTCCGGCAAACTCACGTCTATATCTTAATCCAAATGATCAACCCTTCGTTTGGATTAGGATTTGGATTTGAATGGGTAGGATGAAGGAGAATGATGGAGCTTCATTGACGCGGGAGAAAGAGATTGTGAAGAAGAGTCCTATTGCATGAAGTGATTAATTGAAGACATTTAAATTGGAAGAGGCTGAATGAGAAAATAAGTGTTGAATACAATAACTCCGGGAGCAGAGGTGCGAAAGAAATTTTCCCAACAGAAAAACTACGGTTTCGCACAGCCGGGTGAAGAAAAAAAATGTCTTAATTTACGGCAGAACTTTTTAGAGTACCGTGCTAGCAATTGAGGATGCGACAAGGAGCCGTCTGCTGAACTTATTGTTATAAAGTTAATTGCACAACTAATTAAAGGGCCTGAGACATTAATTAGACCGAACAATGCCCTAAAGTTCTTCAACTAAAGCTATGGGAACAAAAAGAGGACCATGATCATAATGGGCACTAAACCTAGATTAATACCTTTTTAGCTCCACCCTGACCAGGGATGAAGAAAGGGACGGCCGAGATTTGGAATGGCCAAGGCGGAAGAAGAACAAAATCATTATACGATAACTACATTCATATATACAAGAACAAATCATACACGTGTTTATACTTCAATTACAACCACGCTTACTCGTTCCCATGTCTCCTCCATCCTCTATATATCTGCTTCTCCATACAAATGGGAGGACTCAAAAGTCACTATTCATTCTACAGTAAATATTACAGTAGCATTTATTACAGCATTATTACTGTAGCAAACAGGAAACGAGATACTGTAGCATTTTCTAAAAAACTGTAGCGCAAGGGACGCTGTAAAACGTTTTAAAAATACTGTAGCAGAGGCGGAGATATTGTAACAATAAAAAATTCAAAAAATATTACTGTAGTATTTTAAAACCGGAATTACTGTATAAAAAAAATATCGTGATTTGTTTTGCAATGTGTTCACACTAATATGCTCTCAATGTGAAAATAATTTCAAATTATATTTTTTTCACCAAAGAAAAAGCCAAAAACTCCCACAAAATGAGTCACATGGGGACCATAATAGGGTCATCTCTATCGATCCTTCAATCATCTTGACCAGACAAGTCAGGCCCTGCTCTGCCTACGTCTCCCCATCTATGGCCCACTTAAAAAAGTTAACTGGGCCCAGAGACTTGGAGGCCACAGTTTCGGAGGTGAATCCAGCCCATACATTTTCTCTCATAAAAGTCATAATAACCTACTGCAATTTTTCTTACGAATAGCCATGAATTAGGATGGGTTTTACACAAAAATATCAAAAACCACTTTCATTAGAGGAAATTATCATAACCTTTCAAAATCATTAGAAAAAAATATCATACGATACACGAAAGCTCGTGGTATGAGGGTGACTTTTGAGAAAGGTGATGATAGTTCCGTAAAAGATAAACAAAAAAGTTTGTGACATTTAATTCACATATAGTCTTTAATAACACACACCATTTTCCACTAACTTCAATGTTTACGGTATTTTCCCATAAGTGCATATATATATATAGAAATATGGGTATGTTTGGTACCAAGTACAAATTTTGTGCTTGATAGTGAGGTGGCACAATCCCCTCCACTCATTCAAATAGGGGACCACATTCGTATGGGTTGAGGAATGCATGAGGATATGCAACCATTTGAATGAGTGGAGGAGATTATGACACCTCACTACCAAGCACAACTTTTTGTGCTTGGTACCAAACATACTCATTTTTCTCATATATATATATATATATATGTAATAATTTTTTCCTTTAATATAAATGAACCGGGATCTATCCCTTGTTTTTGCTTTAAAAAACTAAATTTTTGAAAATTAACCTAAATTTTTTTAATGTTAAAACTATAAGGATAGCAAGCCTACGAATTCAACGTAATGGACATCCAGTGGCGGAGCCAGGATTTTAATCCTATGGTGTCCTATAGATACATTGGTAATGGTGGAAAATACATCTCTCACAACATAAGCCACCAAACTATCATTAAGCTGAAAAAATTCGAACCCGCGCGCATGCGGGGTTCCTTGCGAGATTCGAACCCGCGCGGATGCTGGGTTCCTTGAAACCCTTTTCCGCTAAACCATCTATACTTTTGTTATTTTTATATGTGCTCTCTGATAGATATTCAGTTTTTACTGGTGTCCTGGAAACCCAGAAGGCACCCATTCAGCTCCGCCCCTGAACAGATCACCATACCAACTAGAACATTTGGATTAAATTAGGGGACAGACGCCAGTCCCTTTCAATGGGGGAATCCTAAGCAGACAAATTTACTCTCGCACCAATTAATTGTTCAATCTCATATCTCATCTTATTTGTCCCTACATGTTGAGTAGTTACTACTTGTTACTAGACTACACACATATCATAACAAAAATGTAAAATGAACTACGAGGGATAACATATCATGATGCAGAGCGTGTAAAAAAAATAAAAAAATAAAAAAAAATAAAAAAACAAAACAAGTGTAATATTAGCATAGTGCATAGGTCTAAGGATAGGGTCATACGTTATGATGGGGTTTTTGCTTTGTGATCAATCGTGATTAGCGAAGCCACTTATTCAGCAACGCAAATGTCAAAAGGTGACATATGCTAGTAGCTATATAGACTCTCTAGGTTGGCGGTGGACAATCCATCTACCAATCAAACCAACCAAAATTTGACAAAGCATATGATGATCATTAAATTAATTAACAAAGATTTATAGCACTATATTTCTTTCCAATTCCTAACTCGAAAGACTTCATCT